TAGTGTTAGATTTTGTTATGGTGCAGACTTTCCTTACTCGATGGTAGTTGGATTCTTTCAAAGTTTGCTTTTCTTAGGGTAGGCCCAAAGCAGCTTTTAGTCTAGGGCTACCTTAGTTCCATTACAAAGGCAGTGATACCCTCCTGAGGGTTATCTCCGGTGTCCCTTCTATTATAACGTCTTCCACTTGGGCTGCCGGGCATGTATACCACTCCTGGTTCTTGGGAATATCAACAATGGTTCTGCCTCCTCGTTTCTAATGGCTCTTTCTCAGCCCCAGGTAACTCTCGATCACACATGTGCAGATCAGCAGACCTCAGCCAGAGATTCATAGTGACTGCCCACCCCCCTAAAGATCTCCAGAGCCCTTTCTCTGTCTGCTCCACAGTTGTTAGCTACTTTGGCCTCTTTGATCTCTGACTCCTCAACTCAGCAGGTCCACTGGGTTCTGTATGGAGTTGTCCTGTCCTGTGCCGCAGCCTGCCAGTAAGCAGTTGTAGTGCTCATTTGTTATTCCTTCCTCGGGGATCACAGCCCTGCATTACCTATCGTCTAAAGAGAGAACACTTGTTTCTTACGTTTTGCCTGGTGTCCTAGCTAAAGGGTGAATCTATCTATAACTCTGTCTTGGCTGGAAGCAAAAGTCTGTGTATTTTCAACATTCTTCTGTAACCATTTATCATTAACCCAGTTCAACGTGTCCAAGAAAATAAGAGTTTTTAGTAAAAGAAATGAGTTCTGGATTTCTTAATGTTTATGAGTTGCAGTTGACAAGCTAAGCTTAAAATTAGACATTGTCCTGTGTTCCTGCAGCACATAACAAGCACGCAGCTACTACCACATGCCACTCTCTCTACACACTTGACGACACCCAAACTGCTGGTCAACAAATGAGACTCACTCACATCACACTGCACAGATGTCACAGCAGCATTAGATTACTAGAAAAGTTCCAAAGCCATTCTCTTAATTTCTGTACTAATCTTGTGGACAAGTAACAAGTAGCTGGAGACCGAGGATCGCACTTTGAGTGGCATTCCTGTAGAGAATCCTGCAAGTCTATGTACAGAACACAGCCCGGATGACTGTCGGCAAGAAAATGGGTACATAGAATTTGGTATAAGGTTACAATTAAATATTCTACAGCCACACACAAAGATGGGTGAGTCTTGGAGACATATGACACTAAAATACAAACAGCCCCTTTGCACGCCTGTTATGCATCTTGATTCTCTTTATGTGTGGTTCCAGCACCGGCACACTAGACTGAGTTGTAGAACGCATGGATAGGTGGTGACACTACAAAGATACTTAAGGCAGCTCTATGATTGGGGCAGGACACATGGGAATATCAGCAGTACTGGAAGCGCTCTGTGTTTTATTTTACTTTTGAATTATAGTTGACATGCAATGTTAATATTAGGTTCAGGTGTACAACACTGATTGTTCAACTCTATACATTAATTAGGCAGTGCTCATTGTCATAACACCATTACCAGCTGTCACCATACGGTAATACGGTATTCTCAACTGTATTCCCTATGCTCTACTTTTCATGTCTATGATTTTTATTTTGTTTTATTTATTTTATACCTGGAAACCTTAACCTCTTAACACTTTAAATAGTGTAAAATAGTTAAACCTATTTTGCCCATCCCCCTACCCTCTCCTCTCTGGCAACCACCATCTTGTTCTGTTTGTTTGTTTTGTCCCTTAGATTATACATATAAGTGAAATCATATGGTATTTGTCTTTCTCTGACTTATTTCATTTAACATAATATGCTCTAGGTCTATCCATGTCATAAAATGGCAAGATTTCATTCGTTTTTATGGCTGAGTAATATTCCATTGTATATCTGTACCACGTCTTCTTTATCCATTCACCTACTGATGGAGATTTGGGCTGCTTCCATATCTTGGCTATTGTATATGCTGCAATAAACATAGCAGTAGGTATATATCTTTCTTTTTAAAGTTTATTTATTTATTTTGAGAGAGAACATGCATGGGAGAGAGAGGGAGAGAGAGAATCTCAAGCAGGCTCTACACTGTCAGCCCCAGAGCCCATCACAGGGCTTGAACTCACGAATCGTGAGATCATGACCTGAGTTGAAATGCTTAACTGACTGAGCCACCCAGGCACCCTAGGGGTATGTATATCTTTTTGAATTAGTGTTTTGTTTTCTTTGAGTAAATACCCAGAGGTGAAATTACTGGATCATACGGTATTTCTATTTTTAATTTTTTTGAGGAACCTCCACACTGTTTTCCACAGTGGCTGTATCAGTTTACCCCCCCACCAACAGCACACAGGTGTTCCCTTTCCTCCACCAACATTTGTTAACTTCTTGTTTTTTCAATATGAGCTATTCTGACTGGTGTGAAGTGATATCTCATCATGGTTTTGATTTGCATTTCCCTGATGATTAGTCATGTTAAGCATCTTTTCTGGTGCTTGTTGGCCATCTGTATACAGGCCTTTGGAAAAAAATGTCTATCAGGGCCTCTACTTGTTTATTAATCAGATGGTTTTTTCAGTGTTGAGACAGAGAAGTTGTTTCTATATTTTGGGTATTAATCCCTTATCAGCTATATCATTTGCAGAGATCTTCTCCCATTCCGTTTCCTTTGCTGTGCAGAAGCTTTTCATTTTTGTGTAGTCCCAATAGTTTATTTTTGCTTTCGTTTCCCTCTTCTGATACAGATCCGTAAATGTGTTGCTAAGGCTAATATCGAAGAGATTACTGTCTGTGCTCTCTTCTAGGAAGGAGGTCTATGGTCTCAGGGCTCACGTTTAGGTCTTTAATTCATTTTGAGTTTATTTTTGTGGATGATGTAAGTAAGTGGTCAAGTTTCATTCTCTTGCATGCTGCTGTCCAGTTTTTCCAGCACTGTTTATTGAAGAGACTGTCTTTTCCCCATTGTGTATTCTTGCCGCCTTTGTCATAGGTTAATTGACCATATGAGCATATATGGTTTGTAGTATATCTTGGAATCTGGGTTTGTGATACCTTTGTCCTTTCTCAAGATTGCTTTGCTCTTCAGGGTCTTTTGTGTTTCCATACAGATTTTACGATTATTTGTTCTAGTTCAGCAAAAAATAATATTGGTATTTTGATAGGGATTGCATTAAGTCTGGGGATTGCTTTGGGGAGTATGGACATTTTAGGAGTATGCTTCCAATCCATGAGTATGGAATATCTTCCCATATTTTTGTGTTGTCTTCAGTTTCTTTCATCAATTTCTTATAGTTTTCAGAGTATAGAGGTTTGCTCCTTGACTAAATTTATTCTTAGGTATTTTATTCTTATCGTGCAATTATAAATGGGATTTTTTAAAATGTTCTGTTTCTTCACCTAAATAATAAGTGTATATATATATATATATATATATATATATATAGTAAGCATATAATCTGTCTCTCAGAAATAAATAATAAACATTTTAAAAAAACATTAAAACAATTTTTTTAAATCAACTCTTGCAGGGCACCTGGCTGTGTCAGTCAGTGGGGCATGTGATTCTTGATCTCAGGGTTGTGAGTTCAAGCCCCGTGTTATATGTAGAAATTACTTAAAAATAAAAATCGTCAATAAAAATAAATAAATAATTTAACTATTTCTCCCATCAACTATTAACTGTTAACTTCAAAAATGTTTTTAATGTTTTTTTTTTTTGAGAGAGATGAAGACAGAGTGTGGGCCGGGGAGGGGCAAAGAGAGAGGGAGACACAGAATCCAAAGCAGGCTCCAGGCTCCGAGCTGTCAGCACAGAGCCGGACTCAAGGCTCACACTCATGGACCACAAGATCATAACCTGAGCTGAAGTTGGATACTTAACTGACTGAGCCACCCAGGTGCCCCTGTTAACTGTTTTTTTTTCTTTTTTACAAATTGTTTCTAGCTTTTTGTTTGGTTGTTTTGTTTTAAATTTCAACTTGCCAGGCAGCAAGCCTGGGAGTAAGGTGCACAGGATACCCAGAGAGACCTCCCCCATCTCAGACTTGGGCAGCCTCTGTGTGTGGCTCTACCTGTTTGGGCCTGGTTTTGCATGAAAACTGACCCAAAAAATGAATCACGAAATAACTCTTTTCTCAAGGATCATTTTGCCAGAATTTTATATTGAAATTGCCTTCTTTAGGGGCGCCTGGGTGGCTTAGTCGGTTAAGCATCCGACTTTCACTTAGGTCATCATCTCGCGGTTCGTGGGTTCGAGTCCCGCGTCAGGCTCTGTGCTGACTGCCAGCTCAGAGCCTGGAGCCTGTTTCAGTCTGTGACGCCCTCTCTCTCTCTGACCCTTCCCTGCTCACGTTGTCTCTCTCTCTCCTAGAAATAAATAAAACATTAAAAAAAAAAAAAGAAATTGCCTTCTTCAGCCTTTTATTTCTTTTATCATAAAACCATAGAATTTAGTATGACATAAAATTCATTGTAGCATTAAGATTTGGGAAGGCAGTTATTTTACTATGTCAAAAATTAAGCTATCTTAAATTCTCTCTGGAAGGAATATAGGGTACAAATAAGTATATCTATACAGGGGCACCTGAGAGGCTCAGTTTGTTAAGCATCTGACTCTGGATTTTGGCTCAGGTCATGATCACACATTTCAGAAGTTCGAGTCCCACATGGAGCTGTCAGTGCAGAGCCTGTTTAGGATTTTCTCTCTCTGCTCTCTGCCCCCCCCCCCCCGTTCTCAAAATAAAGAAATGAATGTTAAAAGAAAAGTATATCTATACAGAGGCATACGCAACAGTTACAGGCAGAAAAAGGAGTAAGATCATTACCATCAAAGAAGTGTGTGCCCAGCCACGCCCAGCATCTAGAAGCTTCATCCCAGGCCCTCTGGGAGGGGCAGGCAGTATTTCCAGGGGTGGGGGTGGGGACTCCCAAGGAGCCCCACAGACCCAGGGGCTGGACCGCCCATCACTTGCCTGGCAGAGGCTGCCTCATCTTAACTTCGGAGTGTGGATAACAAGTCTGTGATATTTTTGTCCGCCAGCCAGATACAGAAGGAGGAGGAGAAAGGAGGGGCTGAGCTAGAAGAGCTGATGGAAAAGCTGGCAGTCCTGCAAATGCAGAAAAAGAGCCTGCTGTTAGAGAAGAACCGCCTGACAGCTGAAAACAAAGCACTGGGAGCTGAACTTGAAAGGGCACAGAAAATAAATAGGTATTTATCTATCTTTTCTCCAGCTGGAGTTTTGGTTTTGGTATTAAAAAGAGATAATTAAATATTCCGTTTTTTTTCTTTGTCTCATACTGGCTAAAAAATGGAAAAGGATCATCGGGATTACTGGATGTCAAAATAAAAGCACAGTAAAGGTGTTGCTATTGACCAGCATTAGCCATCATTTCTCAAGTCTTTGGTTCATAGTTGATAGTCACAATGATGACCCTTTCAAGACTGAAAGTCCTTGAAGTTATCTCCTACACATTTTGGGGTAACTGGATTCCTTTTTCAAAAGCATCTTTTAGAACATGAGCCAAAAAATTAATAGAATAATACATAAATACCCTATTAATTGTGTTAAGCATTTTGTGATTCTTGTTGACTTGGCTCTGAGTCAGTAATTATGCTTCATTTAAAATTAAACTCGGTTACCTATTCTCACCCTGATACTCAAGAGAAGATTTGGGTTGCCTAAGAATACATTTAAATGCTAACATACTTGCTGTTTTTACAATTCAGATATTCTCTATGCCCTAGCCACTCAGGCTAATGAGTTTTTTATTCTACCATCTGGGGAACTCTCTAGGAAGTTTCAAAAGAAAATCGATGTCCTCAAAAAGCAGGTGGAAAAAGCCATGGAGAACGAAATGGCCGCTCACCAGTACCTGGCAAATCTCGTTGGCCTGGCCGAGAATATGACCCAGGAACGCGACAGTCTTATGTATTTGGTAAGCTCCTTCGGTGAACTTCAAGTACACTGCAAGTTAGTATGCAAACATGGTTTTAAGAGTATTTTCTTTATAAAATTACCCATAAAAGCCTTCATCTTTTTACAATTTAACTGCACATTTTCAGATTCTCCCAAATTCTTGCTTTCAACCATGGGGGAAACACATTTTTGGAAGGCGAATAACCCAAACTTTTAAATAATGGCAAATGATACTTTAGAAGGCAAACTAATGGAATTAGTTGATCTAGCCAAATAGATCATCAGGCGTTTGTCACGCGTGCAGACTCATGTGTTCCCTGCTTGAAGATGAACTATGAGCACCATGGACAGCGTTAAGTAGAGTCCAGACCTCCTTGCCTCTAGCCACCCTAGTCCGTAGGAAAGGGCTGAGTGGATTCCTGGTGCTCCTAGATGGTAGGCACTGCCCAGCCAGCAGGCGTGATGCCGAGGACATGATTCTTGGCATTTCCATGTTGGTTTTAAAAGGTGTCAGCAGCAGGCTATGGAGTGAAAGAAGACACACTCCGTGCCAAGCTCTATGCAGTGAAAAAAACCCGAGAGAATTTACCACAAAATAGGAGTTACACAGCAATATCTCCAAGGGGTGAAATTATAGGCAATTAAAAAGAAAAATCCACGTGTATTTGAATTTTATGATTTTTCAACCTTGAACACATGTTGCTTACAGTTATTTAAACATATATCTTTAAGCAGCGTTGCAAATCTCTCGTAACGTAGGATTAGAAATAATAATTTAGTGGATGTAGTGAGAGGGGAAATTAGCGGATTTTCTGAGACATTTGAAAATTGGCAAACTTGGAATCACTCAGCCCTTCTCCCAAATGAGTGGGGTGAGTGGGGTGTGGAGAGTCTGTCAGCATGTGCCACAGGCTTAGTGCCCCTTTGTTAGGAAGGTATTAAGTTCTGCCTTCGGGGGGCGCCTGGGTGGCTCAGTCAGTTAAGCTTCCAACTTCAGCTCAGGTCATGATTTCCCGGTTTGTGAGTTCAAGCCCCACATGGGGCTCTGTGCTGACATCTGGGAGCCTAGAGCCTGCTTCGGATTCTGTGTTCCCTCTCTCTCTCAGTCCCTCCCCTGCTCACACTCTGTCCCTCTCTCTCTCTTACTCTCTCAAAAATAAATAAACATAAAATTTTTTAAAGAAAAAAATCCTCCATAGGATAATGAACATTAGGCTTTTAGCCATTGTTTATATAAGACGAAATAGAAATAGCACACAGCTCTTGGGGAGAATGTGATCCTTATTTGTAATAAAAGAGATGCTAATTAAGCCAGCCTCGAGATCCCACTCTGTCCTTATATTAAGGTTACCAAAAAAAAGTTTCTTTCTTAATTATAATAGTTGCTGCTGAGAGTGGTAAGACTTATTACATGTTAGTGGTGGTTTCTAAGTCCTTCTCAGGTCTTCTGGAAGCAATGTGACTCGGACATAGCATGGTAGGCGCCTAAGCCTGTACACCCCCATCCCATCCGCCTCCCATGAGGTCACCACCCCAACCCAAGTGCTGGGCTCGGGCATTTGCTGTAGCTGTGCTGAGCTCCCGTTTCCCCTCTGCCTTGCCTGCTGTGCTTCCCCACTGGAAGAGCCAGAGTGCAAAGCAGAAGCTTGCTGAAAAACGGGGACTCAGCTGCCACATGTCAGGACCACCGTAAAGGCGAAGTCATCTTGTTTGCAGGGCAGGGCATGCAGGCTTCCCCAGGAGGTAGGTCCTGTACCTCCCATGTGGGCCAGCGATCATCCCAGTTGATGGGATTTAGATCCTCCCCGGCCCTCAGATGGTCCCTCTTCGGTGTTCCCTTCATATTTGTGGGCCCAGGATGGCCATAGAAATGGAAGCCCCTTTTTTGAGGGGCTCGATCTTCCACTGGCGCCCAGGTGGGGTGCCCAGCCTGCTGCTGTGGGTTCTTGCCTCTCCTCAGCTGTTGGCCCAAGTTCTGCCCACAGCCTTCAAATGGGGGTGGGGCTTGGGGCTCAGACAGGCGCTGGGCTGGACAGGTGGCAGAGCGGAGATGACTTATAAATTGCAAGATTCTTTACAGAACGATTATTAATTTAACTTTTTTGTTCAACTAAGAGCCTGCTATTTTTCTCTTCACTTCGCTCCTTAGGCTAAATGTTTAGAAAGTGAGAAGGACGGAGCTCTCGACAGAATCACAGAAGGCAACATTCGCTTGGGAAAGTTAGAGGAAAAAGTCAGGGTAAGTGGTCATTTAGCCTCAGAAGTTCTGTGTCAAATGGAAACACAGCTTATGAAGGTCAGATTTCCGTGTTTAACAAAATGATTCATTTTGCATGTATCCTCTACAGAATAAAGCATTATTGGGTTTCAGGGGCAGAAGGAACATCAGTCCACTCATTAAATAAACTGGTTTATCTGTGCAGTAAGGTCCCATACAGTTGTTGTGTTTTGTTTTGTTTTGCTTTGTTTTGTTTCGTTTTGTTATCTGGAAAAATCTGCAGGCTCTATCCTGAGGTTAATGTGCAGGCGTTATTCTCCAGCCCAGCGATTACTGGTTCAGTTAGAGAGCAGCGTTGACCTGTTCCTTTCTTGCTTAATCCTAATTGCACCCTCTGGTTTCTCTGCCCCAGGGAGCTAGTCATTGTACCAGCTCTCCCTGCCGGGCCACCTCCGTCACCTGACCTCTGCTCTTGCTGCCGCCGACGTTCGGCGTTCCTCTTGCCGGCCTCCACACCTGCTTGCACAGCCTTACCAGCCAAACCCTTTTCTCTTGAGCGGGAGCAGGGGTGCGGTCAGGGGCAGGGAGAGAACAGGCAGGCCTACCTGCGTGCAAGGCAGGGAGCCTGGGGGCTTTGGAGGAGAATGTAGCCTATCCATGGGGAATCCGATCCAGACTTCTGTGGGGTGATGACTTAAGGGCCTGCTGCGAAGAGAAATAGACTAATGACATTTACTCTGTGGGAAAATTCACAAACTAAGACAAATGAAACATTAGCTAGCCCTGTGTAAATACGCGTAATACTGGGTGAACAGCATGAGTATGTGTGTGTGTGTGTGTGTATGTGTATACAATTTATACTGAGTAATATATAATTACTCAGAACCAAATATATGTATTAATGCAAAGAGTAGACTTTTTTCCCCTGTGTTTCATGAATAATACTTAAATAACACAAATATTAAGTTTTTGGAAGCTGCATGGCCTGCCCATCTTGATTTTCAAGTGGTACAGACAGAGATGCTGCCTGAGGGCCTCTCCAGTTTCCAGGAGGGTCTTCCACATGCAATATGGAATATGTGCTACCCTGATCTGGGTCCTAGGCCGTCCCCAGGTGAGATCACCTCCATCTAACTACATTCAGAGAAGACCAGCCTACCCACCAGCCCATCACTGCTCTCGTTTATCGTAGGCCGTAGCCTTTGTGGTGAGGGAAGTTCCCGCCGCAGGTGCAGGGAGATCATCCCCTCTGGGAGCAGGCACCCCAACATGTATTTTCTATGTTATATGTGTTATATACTGCATTCTTACAATAAAGTACACTAGGGAAAAAATTGTTATTAGAAAAATTGTAAGTAAGAGAAAATACACTTATAGCATTGCACTGTATTTATCTGAAAAAGTCTGCATACAAATGGACCCATGCAATTCAAACTCACGTTGCTCAAGAGTCAACTGTACTTCTGAACAGTTGGGACACTTGGGGACTTCCAGGATGCTGGTTATATTCTATTAACGTAGATGGTAGTTCCATGGTGTTTGCTTTGTTATTAAATTGCTCATATATGCTTCCTAAGCTTCCCCCCAAATATATACCTGTCACCACATCAATGAGGCACACCTTGACCATTTATGATTGCTGGCCATCCATTCTTCCCCACCCTCATTCTCACTACCTTACTTTAATGTGTCTTCCATAGACAGCATCCCCTTCCAACAGGTACATAACTTATTGATTATGGTTATTAGCAATTGTCTGTCCCCCTGGCCACACTGGAAACTCCACAAGGGCAGAGATTTTTTTCTGGTGTTGTTCACTGGGATATCCCAGGCCCCTAAAATAGCACCTGACACGCAGTATTGAATACATTCAATAACCTTCTGGGGAATTAATTAAATAATATATTTTATAATTTTTAAAATTCAACTGCCAAACGCAGGATACAAAACAGTATTTCAACTCCCAGAAAGGCTAGAAGGAACCTACCATATTATGAACAATGGGAAGCTAAATGAAGTATTTTGAGTAACAATGAGCAACCATGGATTTTTATGGGTTTTTCTGGCTTTCCTGTTAGCCTTTGTTTCCAAAAGAGAAGGTCTGATCGTCAGGGAGTTGACCTTGTGTTTGGAATGTATCTCAGTACCGTTCATCTAAATAAGATAGCAAAAAGGGTCCACTCAGCCACCCCGAGAAGACACCTGAGAGCTGGATCCAGATTGGACAGGGCAGATCTCTGGGTAAGTGGACAGACGAGACCTGGAAAAGGTTGAGAAAATTCAGGGATGACATCTCAGGAAACCCCAGCAAAATAGGACTCGCAGAAGTGAGGATGGCACCCTGGAGGTCAGGGAAGCCAGAGCCACCGCCGGAATCCCTTCTGAGCCAGGCTAGACTCAGAGGAGCCAAGAGGGGCCACAAGAGAGATGGCATGGAGAACCTGGAAGCTGACCCAACTGGTCCTGCTCCCGGGAACCTCATCTCAGCCCGGAGGAATTCAGGGGCCTCCAGAGGCAAAGGAAGAAAAAGGAAGAAAAATTGAAGTATAATTGGCCTGCACATGGTGAAAATACATCAGAAATAATGTTGCCACACTTGGGTCATGATCTCACTGTTCGTGAGTTCAAGCCCCACGTCGGGCTCTGTGCTGACAGCTCAGAGCCTGGAGCCTGCCTCAGATTCTGTGTCTCCTTCTCTCTCTGCCCCTCCCTGCCCCCAGTCTCCAAAATAAATAAACATTAACATATTTTTTAAAAAAGAAAAGAAATAATGTTGCCACAAAAATCAAAATTATCAATTATGCTTGACAGGGAATTGATAGGCAGGTAGGTAGATAAGTAAGGAGGTAGATAGGTAGCTAGAAAGCTAAAACTTAATAAAGCCATCAGAGCTAGGAGGAAATCCTACAAAGCAGAAACAGATCGCCAGACAAAGGAGTATGTGAACTGGAACTGACATAACTTGGGGAAGACATAGAAGGAAAGGTGCATCTGTTTCAGAAATGTAGACTGAATTACAGGGAGCATGAGGGAAAACCTATCCTAAAAGCACAACGGGGACATAAAGGATAGAAATGAGAAAGGTAAAGACAGAAAGGCAGAAATAAAGATGTGAAAAGAATCCGGTAGGAAAAAAAAAAAAAAAGGAATCCAGCAAGGGATAAGAGATCCAATATGCCTATAGTTAACAGTCCCCAAGAAGAAATCAAAACAGCTCAGAACCATAATTCATAAAAGCTCTTCTGAAATAAACAAAGGCTTGAACCTATACATTGAAAGGACTTTAAGATAAAGAAAGAAGTCCTTGGACACCCAGGCAGAAGACCAAGACATAAGAAAAAGAAAACCATGCTGGCATCACACTTCTCAACAGCAACACTGAATGCCAGACAGCAGTGCAATGCCTTCTAGAAATATTCGAGGAAACAGAGCCTGAGCCAAGGTTCTTTCCGTCCAACCAAGCTACTCTTCAGACAGTTTTGAACGTGTAAGAACTCTGGGCACATTTTTTCCATAAATCTTTCCTAAAGATAATCAGCTTGAGTTCAGCCAATCAAGCAATAACTGGACAGGGACACCTGGGTGGTTCATTCGGTTAAGTGTCTGACTCTTGATTTCGGCTTTGGTCACGATCTCATGGTTCATGGTTTGAGCACCCTGCATCAGGCCCACGCTGACATCTAGGAGCCTGCTTGGGATTCTCTCTCTTCCTCACTCTCTTCCCCACCCGTGCTCAAACTTTCTCTCTCTAGCCCATGCCCTGCTTGTGCTCTCTCTCTCAAAAATAAATAAAACATTATAAGAAAAGAAAAGAAACAGTTGGGCAAATTTCAGAAAAGTACTGGCAGTGAACAAAAGATACACTTAACTGTGAACTAAGACTTCAGCAAAGCAGGGATAAGGCTGATAGAATGAAATGTAAATGTTTTTTGACAATGTGGAAATAATACAACCAAGGAAAAACTGATAGGTTTAGGAGGTAGGAAAGTAGAAAGTAGGACAAACTAGCTGGTTGTTCATATTTCATAACTAAGAGTTCAATGGACATCATTTCAAGATGAAAAATCAAGTAGGAAGAGCCTAAGCATATTCATATTCAAGTAGGGGAAGAAAAGGTTGTGAGCTAACTTGATAAATGAGAGGAGTAAGGACATATAATATAAAGGCATGAGAATAAAAGTCACCACAAGAATCAAAAGACATTCATTCCGGGGCACCTGGGTGGCTTAGTCGGTTAAGCGTCCGACTTTCGCTTAGGTCATGATCTCGTGGTTCGTGGGTGCATCGGGCTCTGTGCTGACTGCCAGCTCAGAGCCTGGAGCCTGTTTTAGTCTGTGACTCCCTCTCTCTCTGACCCTCCCCTGCTCACGCTGTCTCTCTCTCTCTCCTAGAAATAAATAAAACATTTTTTTTAAAAAAAAAGAGATTCATTCCTAAATAATAGTATTACAACAGTAAAAAGAACAGAAAACAGGACTACATTAAAGTCTTTAAAAATGTATGTAGCTAAAACAGCAAAATAACAAGTTTGGGAACAAACACAAGTAATGTAAGTGAGTTTATTTCACCCATTAAAAGAAAACAGTTGTTTAGATTGGATTATGAAGCAAACAGTATCCCACGATAGAGCCAAGAGACAGTCTGAAACAAAGTGTATCAGAAGGGTTACAAATAAAAGGATGAGTAAAGATAATCCAGATTTAAGCAAACAAAAAGGAAAAAAAAGGTACAATCTTTCTATGTGCCAAGATAGGGTTCAGTGCCAAAAGCACCAAGTGAGACAAAAAAAAAAAAAAAAAAAAAAAAAAAAAGGCCTTGGGAGTGTTAAAGACTGCAGTTAATAATATATGGTAGCTACGAATATCTATGTGCTAAATAATACAGCAGCAAATCTATAAAGTATAAACCACAGGGCATACAAAGGGAAATGGAAACTTAGTAATAGTAGGAGCTTTAATTTTCTCTTGGCCCAAGACAGATCAAGACATCAAACAAAAGTAACTAAGGATATAAAAGACTTAACAATGTAATCTATAAGGTTTATTTATGTACAGATATACACAGAGTAATTGATGGATTGCAGATTGTCTACCCCAAAAAAAAAAAAAAATCAACCCCTAGAGTAGAAATAAGGCATGTTTGTTGAACAAAAAGGTGAAAGCCAGAAATTGATAAATAGTCAGAAAGCAAAAAATAATCTTTCACCTGGAAATTTGAAAACAGTGAAGTAGGCCAATTCTTGGGTCAGAGGGAATGTACAAACTGTCCATCTTTAAACAGCATCGAATCTGTGCGAACTACAGTTCACTACCTATGTGAAAGCAGTTTTAGAAATGCTCAGAGGGAAGTCGTAACCTTAAATACTATTCAGTAAGAATGTAGAAGGAAAGCAAGTGATCAGGCTTTTATCTCTGCCATCTGTTTACCAATAGAGTGCACAGGCCTCACCAGGTTGGTCTGTTTCGATGTGTAGCCTATAAAAGCTAGGCACGATGCAAACTAGAAATTTGCTATTCTTACACTTGACATTCTTTCTCCCCCTATATGACTTTTATCATCCTTGCCCTCCCAGATCAGGCTTACCCAAGGTTTACTCATCATTTCAGTGGGCTCTGATGGTCCAAATGGGCAGGGTGTGTGTCCGGGAAGCCACCCCATGGGCCACAGGCAGCGTCCCTTCGCTCACAGAGTGCCTCCTCCCCCAGGCGTACAAGAAGCAGGCAGCACTGAAAGTGGGCAACATCAGTCACCAGCTGACGGAGCAACAGGAAGACTTTGCTAGCAAGACTGCTCAGTACCGGCAAGAGATGAGGCACCTCCATCAGATGCTGTGCGACAAGCAGGAGATGCTGGACCAGGCACTGCAGCAGAAGAGGTGGGGCCACCCCTGCCCCCTCTACTGTGGTTACTTTGGAATGTTTGCTAGACTTTCCTACTAAAACCCTCTGGACCCGTTTCATGTATTGGTTCCATTTTACTTCCATCTGAATGTAATATTGGTCTTGATTTTTATTTGCTCGTTTTCTTTTGAAATGTTTTCCCCCAGCAGTGGGGGCCTTGCTACTTTAGGAGTCATAGGGCTCTGTAAGTAATTTTCTCCCTGTGCTGTTCTGTGTGTGTTTCTCTCAGAGAAATCGAAGGCGAGCTTGAGGTTGTTTGGCAGTCTGCCTCCAAGGAAAACCGGAGAATCCGAGAGCTTTTGCAGGCCACGCTGGAGAGGCCTGGCGCGTGGGACAGCATCAGGGAGGCTTGCCGGACGGCTCCGGCTCCGGCCACCGTGACGTGAGGCCACCGCCTGCCCGCCCACAGCCCGCGCGTGACCTTCCCAGGACCGGAGACACGGGGGAGGGCAGGCCCCCGCCTCCCACCACAGCGTTTCTCCTCCTCCAGGCGAGGCAGAAACAGTCTCAGGCATTTCCTCCATTTTTTACATTTTGCTTTATTTAAACAATACAGTGCTGAACTTGATTTTTGCCAGTACATGTCCTCTGGGTGTGACAGCTGACCTGATGAGCTGGCCTGGCTCTGGGCCCCTAGGCCTGCAGCTGGGGGAGCACTCGGGCTGTGTGCTCCGCCGAAGGTTAGGTGGATGAGGCCCGTGGTGGCCCTGTGCGCTGGGTTAGCAGTTTCTTAAAGGAGTACTCGCACTTCCGCCCCAGGAACTTCTACGTGTGTTCTAGCCCCTCCACCTTCCCTTCCTTATCCTCCTGGGAAGGTGGTTTTCTGGGGCCTCCTGGCACCAAGGTGGGGTCCCTGCCCCACCGCCACCACCGAGAAGGATGCCAGGGGCCAGGGTTCACTCCTCTGTGCCACCTCCTCAAACAGGTCATGCCAGCCCCTCAGGACCGTCCCCTGGCACTTCCTGGTGGCAACGCTAGCCACCTTGGGCTGCTTGTCCCCCGGCACAGCAGGAAAATGCAGGACAGCAGGCTGCACAGGATCCTGAAAAGTGGTAAGGACAGAATCCCAGAACCCTCACTGCTCCGGCCTGCCTGGGCTCAGGCCTGTACACCGGCCAGCAGCGTGGCTCAGACATGCACACTGGCATCACCTCGGCTCGGGCATGCACACCAGTCAGTACCTCGGCTCGGGCGGGCACACTGGTGTCACCTCGGCTTGGGCCTGCACACTAGTCAGTACCTCGGCTCAGGGCTGCACACTAGTCAGTACCTCAGCTTGGGCGTGCATACTAGTTGGTACCTCGGCTCAGACGTGCACACCAGCCAGCGCCGGCCTCCATCAGGTAGAGAAGTTGATTGCTACTTATGAAGCTGAGATAGGAGATCACTGTTGCTTTACGTTTTGTTAAATTTGTGCAACAGCTAAACAATTCCAGTTTATTTTCATTTTACCCGGGGTAGGCAGACTCACCAGGATTTAAAACTACATATTATCTCCCCAGGTGGTGGTGACCTAGCAAATAACATAAATGTTATTTCAAGGAAATCCATCAGCTCTCCAGCGGTCGGTACATAGGCTGAGCGGTGGGAAGAGTCTCTCGCCTTCCTGACCCGGGCTTGGGGGGTGGCTTGTCGTGGGAACACTGGATTGTCACACCCATAGAGAACCGCTGTTGTCATTCCTGTCTTTTGCCCGCCTTCTCTGAGAGCATTTTGTTCCCCGGGGAAGTGAACATTTGTACATCTCTGCTTTAAGTTTTTACGTGTTACAGACATACTGTGCAAGTTTGGTGGCCCCTGGACCTCGTCACGGCCGGGCAGGGCTGGGCTCCTGCAGCTCTTGGGCCTCCTGTCTCGGGGCTGTCCAGGGTGCAGAGGAGGACAGGGCATGCAAAGTGGCGACAGAGAAGCCCAGGGACTAAACTCAGGCGCTGTGTAGAGGAACGGGAAGGGCGGAAGGGCAGGGCTCCAGAAGCTGAAGAAGGCCCGAGCGGGCTGTGCGGGCAGAGGCGAGGACCCAGTGACCGCGGGAGTTCGGGGTGGGCAGGGAGGCCAGCCTGCTGGGAGGGGCTCCTGCCGTGCTTCATCCTGCCGTTTCCGGTCGCAGCAGGAGCCGGTGACATTCTTCTTGGTCCCGGGGAGTCTGCATATGGCTCTAGAATGATCCTCACTGGGCCAACAGTTATAGAACATGCCCGGGAGCTCAGTGAGCCTGCTGCCTTCGGTATTAGCAAAGAGCAGTCCAGGGGATCCAGGGCCGGCTGGAGAGGGGCCGGGGCACAGCGGGGACGTGGGTGTGAGTTTGGAGCGAGAACAGCTTACGAGCTACCTCAGTTTTCTGGTCGATCTGCACAGAGGGCACGGGGGTCAGGGGTCAGAAGTGGCTGCAAGAACAGTGGAAGAGCCCATCCCTTCCCGGCAGCTTCTCCGTGGAGATCAGTGTGTCCCCCAGCTCTGTGGAGGGCAGAAAATCCTGAATTGTATTTCTTCCAGTGCAGTTTATTTATTCAGCAAATACCCACAGAGTGCTTATCTCTGTGCCCTGTGTCAAGAACAATAGCAGTGATGAAGACAAACAATTCCACCATGCTAGGTGCTTGGACGAGAACAGGACAGAAACAATGGCTGCTGTGGGCGCTACTGGCTGAACACTGTGCGGGACATTCAGCCACCTCCTGGCACAGAGGCGCGCTCATGATCTTACCTTCCAAAACAAATAATATTTTCAAGGAACAGCCCAGAAGGTTCTCTTCTCCTCCCATCTCCCAACACTGTGCCCCCTATCTTGCAGGAAAGCTCACCTGGTTAGTCTCTCTGTGCACTGATTAGCTCCTTTGTCTATGAATTCCCAAGTGACGGTTTGTGCTGGCCTGTGAGACCCTAAACCACTGCACAAGGAGGTGCCCTTGGACTCGGTGTGGGGTACACGGAGCAGCTGACCAACCTCTGCCGGCAGGAAAGCCAGCCAGGATAACGGGCTACATGAGAAAGGTAATTTCTTGGGGGAGCACGGAAGAGTGGGGGGCGGGAAGTTCATGAAGGGCTTTGGGCAGGACATAGCATTTCAGGGGGCGTTAGATGCTGAGTTGGATTTCTCCAGAAGAAAATGCTGTAAAGAAAGACAAAGACTCTGTAGGTATAGGAGTAGAATTGTGTTCCCTTTAAAAAAGATGCGTTAGGGACGCCTGGGTGGCTAAGTTGGTTAAGCATCCGACTTCAACTCAGGGCTTGTGGGTTCGAGCCCCGCGTCTTGCTCTGTGCTGACAGCTCAGAGCCTGGAACTGCTTCGGATTCTGTGTCTCCCTCTCTCTCTGCCCCTCCCCTGCTCGTGCACTGTCTCTTTCTCTCTTTCTCTCTCTCTCAAAAATAAACATTAAAAAAATATTAAATAAATATGTTGAAGCCCTAGCCCCCAGACCCTTACAATGGGACTGTATTTGGAAATAGGGTTGTTGCAGATGCAGTTAGGTGAGCTCACACTGGAGCAGGGATGGTCCTGATGCCAGATGACCCGTGTCCTTAAAAGAAGACCATGTGAGGACTGAGACGCCCAGGGAGGACCCCACAGGACACCCATCAGGATTGGAGAGATGTAGCTGCAGGCCAAGAAACACCAGCAACTTCCGGGAACCCCCGAAGATAGGAAGAGGCCGTGAAGGACACCCCACCTCGGGTCACAGAGGGAGCACGGCCCTGCCCACGCCTTGACTTTGGACTTCCAGCCCCCAGAATGGAGGTAGTAAATCTGCCTGTTTTAGAGCCAAAAGAGAAGGAAACAGGACAGGACCCCAGAGCCCTGAGTTTCCGGAGCAAGCAGGGTCTCTGAGCAGTCACAGGAAAACTTCTGTGTGTGCCAGAGCACATGGCTGTTCCAGCTATAAATCTCCTGAATTAATCTAAACATAAATTAAGTATTTTCGATGAAAATCTAGCCCCCGGATTGAGGTGTGCTGTGAACATGAAACACACTAGACTCCAAAGACTTACTATGGAAAGAATAGAAACTATCTCACCAATAATTTCTATTCTGGTTACAGGCTGAGGTAACATTGGGTGAAACAAAATCTATTGTGAAAGTTGATGGTTTCACCTCTTTTTGTTTTCATTTCTACTTTTTAAGAAATGTGGCCACTTAGAAAACCATAAACTGCGCATGTGGCTCCCAGTGTATTTCCCTTGGGCACTTTCTTAGGGAGCTAAATGTCAGAGGCAAAACTAAACTTCTAGAAGGCAATCCATGACTGCTGGTCAGGCAAGAATTTCTTGAACAAAACCTGGAAGGCACTAACCACAGAAGACGGCGTTACAATTTGACGACAGTACAATTAATGAAGGGCCACGTAGCGGGGAGCGTGTCCCACAGCTGACAGACGCCTTTGGTCCAGACAGCGTGAAGGAGGCCAGGAAGCAGAGGGCAGCCCAAGAGACAACAGCAGCAGAGGCAGGGACAGGCGATTTGGAGGAGGAACCTAAGTGAGTACCCGTGGAAGCCACAGTGACACACGTCCGACCCATCAGAAGTGGCCAAGTGTCTGGCAAGGCCGACCTAACACGTTTGAGAGGCAGTACGAAGGGGGCCAGAGGCTCCTGTCCACTCGGCCCCCGGATGGAAACCCCTGCGCTGTCCCCGAGGTGGGGGCCCGGCAAGCACGTGGAGGACCAAGACCCACACATCCACGGGTGGCCTCCCTGTGTGGTGCCAGGAGCGCGAGCCTGAGCAGAACACCACGCGGAGCCGGAGCCGGTGCTGCGATGTCCCCAGCCGTGCGGGGCGGAGCCGAGCGTCCCCGGGGACGCGGGCTGCGGTGGAATTCCAGAGAATAGCGCCACTCAGACCTGACCCGGGAGGCTGGGAAGGGCCGCTCCTCGGGCCCAGGGGGCCGGGCATGGGCATTTACTGTTTCGAAAACATACGGAGACACCAGGTGACCTTTTTTGTGTGGGCACTTAGAGGCTGAGTCGAAGTTTGCTTAATCACAGAATTCCAGCAACGTTCTGAGAAAGTTAGTGGGACATAAGACGGCGGTGGAAGGCACACTTGGGAGCGGTGTGGCTGTGCCTGGGCCGGAGGAGCCAGCGGCACCCAGGACCCCGAGGCCTCGGGGGAGGCGGGAGCCCTGGAGGCTGGGGACTGTCTTTGGGGAAAGAGAGGAGCAAAGAAGACGCTGGGACGGCTGTGGTCCCAGGAGGGAGGCCGGAGGGGTCCAGACTCCGGAAGCAGAAGCGGAACACTTGGGGAGGAGGGAGGCTTCGAGAGGCTGGGGGACCACAAAAGCACGTCCACTGGGGACACAGGGCCGCCCGCCCCGCTCAGCCTGCTGTGTGCTTCTCTCCCGTAACAGTGCCCAGAGCCGAGCGGCCACTCAGGTGGGGCAAGGAGGGCGGCGGGCAGGGGCGCGAGTGACAGGGCCCACAGAGGGAAGCAGACGGCCAGTGAGATGCCTGCCCCGAGGATCCCCCTGCTCACATGCAGCGGCCGCCTCCTCTAGCAGTTCTGGAGTTGCCTCTGTCATTCTTAACAGATAAAGCTTGTCCGTTTAGTCCCCTCATCACGGCCTGGACTGCACCGGAGCCCCC